AAAGCCCGTGGGCACGGCGCCACTGCACGCTGTGTGCTCACACACAGCAGCAGCATCGCTCACCTGCGTGAAACACTGTGACAATCAGCTAATTTTCCAAAGAACTGTTCTACACATTTCCATTCAGGACCAGCACCTTCTTCCAGGTTAAGCATTTGGGCTGATGAGACATCCCGCAGCAATTTGTGTGGTCCCACTGCCCACAGTCCGCTGCTCCCTACCCATGCAGCTTCTTCCAAAAGCATTTTTCATGACCGGGCAGAAGGGGGAAGAGTAGCTGTCTCACCCCGCCCATTCATTCAACAAATACTAATCGGTGTGCCAGCGCTAGTGACAGAGCGGCGACCTCGAGACAATAAGTAGGTCTTCAGGGAGCCCACATGTGTGTAGGTGCAAACAGACAAACCAAAACACACTAGGGAGTGAAAAATGCTGTACAGAACCATGCCGCGGAAAAGGAGAAAGACCATCTCCACCAGAGCCGTGGTGATGCTAATGCTGTGACAGGTCAACAGGGCATAGGACAGACTGACAAAAGCCTCTGTACAGTGACACCATTCTCCCTCGAGTCTTCTCTCCTCATAATGGGAAAAAAAAAGGAAAGCAGGGGCAGAAAGCCATTTTGAGATGGTTTCTGATTTCAGATATCTGGCCATCAAACCCCTGCAATTTCAAGGAAAAGCTGATAAACCATATGGCTGACAGTTGAAAGTCTGTGTTTAGGCGCGACTCTTAAATATGGGCAAAATGTGTTTGTTTATGTGAATGCTCCAGGCCCTCGCTCGTGCAAATCGTGCCAACGGAACTGTCCGTGTTTTGCCGGATCCACCAGCTTGCCACAAACAGCCTTCCACGCCTTTTCTAACTGTTTATAAATAGCACAAACATCCAGATATGCACATCGAGGCAAGCTGTCCCTTCAGCTGCCGCTGCTGTGACAATGAGCCAAATCAGCCCGCGCACACCGCACACCGGGGCTGTCGGGCCGCCTGACGGAGGATTTGTCCAGCGGCCTGCCCTCCTCGGAGGTGGAAAGGCACAGAGGGGGCCCTACTCTCCGTGCAGGACAAACCACGCCGCGACCTCCGGATGAGTTCTGCCCCCCGCATCCACCTGCCCCTCGCCGTAGCCCCGTGGCTTCCCCGTGTGCCCATCCTGAAAGGCTGCCAGCAGCCCTGCAACAGGAGCCTGCTACCGCTGCCGTCGCACGCGGGAGGAACAAGGAGCTGCCCAGGACCACGTGCTAATGAGAGGGCCCTTTTCACAACCGGAGTTTCCTGGTGCCCAAAATAATGCTTTTCCATCACACTATTTACATGGAGCTGAACTCAGCTTCTTTCTACTAGGTCAGCCGCCCAGAGGTATTTGTATGACACAAGCCATGATGACCTGTTAGCATTCTTTCTTCTAAAACATTGAAACAACAGCATTTATTCTGCACTCAGGAGGCACCAGTCTCTGAGTTTTATCTTACATTACAGCCCTATAAAATCGCCACCATATCACTCCCCAAGCAAGGCACAGAAAGGTTAAAGAGCTTGTCCACGGTCACAGGTTATTTTGCCTTTTTTTTTTTTTCAAATTTACAAAAGTAAATACTCCTTTCGTTACAAGTGTTATTAAAACAAACATACTTAAGGTGCACCAAATAATAAAATAGCAAAAATTAAAATTCAGATTATACAAAACAGTGAAATTCTCCTTCCACTATAATCACCAATCCCAACCTCTCCTCTGGGGCAACCAGTGCTACCAGCATGTCACACGGCCCTGCAGAGCTGCTGCCATGGTGTGGAAATAAGTGTGCCACACACACAAGGGAGATACTATATGTCACCACTGTATCGCCTGAGCAACTTGAGGGGGTGTGGCTACTGCACCTCCATCATCCATGACACACCTTCCCTACCACCCGGGATAAACAGTCAAGGTGAGAAGTCAGCTTGTCACCCAAATACGGCTCTGAAACACAGCTCCTGGCTGCCAGCTCCCCTTCCCTGCCCCGTCACTGTATGGCTGCACATGTTCAGCCATATTTTCTGCTGGCAGCCAGAAATACCTGACAGTAGTCATGGCAGACACGAATGTGCCATGTGATCGACTGCTCTTCAAGCAGAGATGTGCTGCAGGGACTATGGTCCAACTGCCAGCTTCCTTCCCATGGCAGCCTGAGCCCTGAAAGGGTGTAAGAGACCTGGCCACATTAGCCCAAAAGGGGATGCTGGGATGGGCAGTCCCTCTCCTGAACAGCATGCAGGCTGGCTGAGGCTCTACACACCTACATCACAGCCTACTGCTTCCTCAGTTTCTCTACTCTCCTCACATCACTGATCCTGACAGACACCTTCCCCCCACATCTGCCTCCCCAGAGCCCACTGCAGCTGGTCTGCTCCCCACCCAGGATACCCCCAGCACAGAATTCTTCTGTGCCTCTGTGTCCCTGCTACCATCTTGTGCTATTTTTGCAATCACATGGGAGTACTTAGCTTACAAGGTTTTTCACATTCTGAGTCTTTTTATAATTCATGATAAATACTTGGATGCATCCTGGTGGAGCTATTCATACTATTACAGTGAGTGATAAACAGATAGAGGCCTCTCACTGCCACTCTCCCCCACAGATCCTCTGCAGGACTCTGCAGGACTTCACAGGACTTCACAGCATCCTTCCCATGGCAAATATCTATTCCAGTGCACATACCAGGGCCCTCTTTTAAGGATGCTCCTCATCAATGGGCAACAGAAGTCATGCTTCCCATCATAAGCAAAGCCCACTTCTTCAGTGCACACACGCCAGAGGCCTGGGGTGGTTACAGCAGAGTGAGGATATGAGGCTTTTCCCTGGGAAGTCACTATCCCAGCCCAGAACAGTTACAAAATATCTGGGCAAAAGATGGGAAACTCTCAAACCAAAAGACATGAATAGGCAAGTCAGAAAAAAATCAATTATTTAAACCCCACTAATAGGGCACCTGGGAGGCTTGGTGGTTGAGTGTCTGCCTTTGGCTCAGGCCATGATCCCAGGGTCCTAGGATCAAGTACCACATTGGGCTCCCCACAGGGAGCCTGCTTCTCCCTCTGCCTATGTCTCTGCTGCTCTGTCTCTCAAGAATAAATAAAATCTCGGGATCCCTGGGTGGCGCAGCGGTTTGGCGCCTGCCTTTGGCCCAGGGCGCGATCCTGGAGACCCGGGATCCAATCTCACATCGGGCTCCCGGTGCATGGAGCCTGCTTCTCCCTCTGCCTGTGTCTCTGCCTCTCTCTCTCTCTCCCTCTCTCTCTCTCTCTCTCTCTCTGTGACTATCATAAATAAATAAAAAATTGAAAAAAAAAGAATAAATAAAATCTCAAAAAAAATAATAAACCTCACTAATAATCAAAAAAGCAAATTAAAATGATATAATCTATTATTTATCCAATTGACAAATTGCTTCAACTACTGGTAATATTTAGTATTGGTGAGGATTCAGTGAGGCAGCTGCTCTCAAGCATGGCTGATGATCATGCAAACGGAAACCACTTTTCTTTTTTTTAAAGATTTTATTTATTTATTTATTTATTTATTTATTTATTTATTTATTTATTTATGAGAGAGAGAGAGAGAGAGGCAGAGACACAGTCAGAGGGAGAAGCAGGAAACCACCTTTTTGAAGAAGAGCTGGACATGTCTACCAAGATCACCCACACCACATACCCTCTCTCACACCAGCCTAAGAACCACCTGTGCTAAGATGCACGCTGAGTTCTGCAAACAAGGTTTTTGTTACCTACTGTATTACTATAAACTGTAAATCTCAAACATCCAATGTTACATAAATATTTAAGATATAATTTAAGATACATATAAATTGCATTTCTGAAAGTATAATTCATGATGTGACAAAAATGTCCATTTATGTATAGGGAATAAAAAAGATCTTAGAATACTCATTTTATTTTTAAAAAACATAATTTTATGATTAGAAAAAGGAGACCCTTAGTCTAGGGTCTCCAAGATTCCCCACTGAGCCTCAACAACTGGCCAGGAGAACTCTCAGGACTCATCACACAGGCATACTCAGAACTAGATTTATCACAGCAAGAAGAGACAAAGCACAATGAGCAACGGGGAAAGGCACAAGGTGCAGCAGACTCCAAGTAGGAACCTCCAGGGTCCTCTCTCACAGAGTCACACAGGACAGCACCTGGGAAGCGCTGGCACCAGGAAGCTTGTTAGAGACCCAGCGTCGGGGATTTTGCTGGGGGCTGGGCACATGGGCCCCCTCTGCCTGACATGTACCAAGGTTCCAGACTCTAGGGAGGAAACCAGGTCTGTGGGCATGAACCATGCTGTCTGCACAGACAGCTCAGGCTCAGTGAACTGCTCTTGCCAGTCAGGGTGGTGGGAACCGTCCCAACACTGAAGTTCCAGATACCAGCCACGGACCAAGCTCTCGAGCAGGCCTCCCAGAGGATGGGAGTCTCTGGCCTGCTGTGGTAATGCTGTTCTGCACAAGGCTGAAACGGTCATAGTGCTGAGGTCTGATGAGATTTGTGTTCTTCTTTATCCTCTCTCATTTCCAAATGTTCAATAACATGTATTTCCTTTACGATCAGGGAGGTGTATTACACACTTTTAAAAGCTCTGTTTTGCTTGTTTTGCCTACATGATACCAATTTTTAGATCACATACAGGGGAATTCTGAGATTTACAAATGTCCTAAGAAGACACAGCCAGGGAGAGAGCAGCGCAGGAGAGCCACCGGGGGGATGGGTGGTCCTTGGTGAAGAGTGGGGATGAAACTCCACCAGCGTCCTCAAGATTTCCAGCTTTATTCTTGACCAAACAAGCTGGAGAGTCAGATTTCGTCCCTAACACGGCTATGAGCAGGCACTATTTTGTTTTTAATGCAAAGATCTCTATATTCCAAGTACCCCCAGCAGACAGCACCATGGCTCTTGTCAAGACAGTTTCATTTCTTTTAATGCCATTGAGTTTGAAGATCATGAAATCTCCTTACCTGTGCTTCCTTCTGATGACACTCACCACAGAAAGAATTTCAGAAGAATCTGAAAGTTAAAAACAAACATGTATGGAAATATGCAACCCAGAACTCAATCCATGACTCTACAATATCATTCTCATGGTTACATTTCCTTAGGTGTAAAAGGGGAGGGAAACACTGCCTGCCTTGCAATCGTAAGAAAACAGATGTAGGAGAATTTCAATGATAAGACATTAGTATCAGAAGCGCCTCACATAACCATTCCACAAATGCCTATGTGCTGGCCCTTACGTCAGGCCCAGGGAATACAGCAGTAAATAGAACAGACGTAGCCAGATTGAGCTCAAAGGGCCCGCAGATCACTTGAAAGAGAAATCGTGAGTAAGCTGTGGGGGTGACAGGAGGCAGCCTTTTAGCGAAGGCTCAGAAAAAGACTCTGGGACTGAGGCTTGGGTTGCAACTCCAGAACTACCACCTGAGAGCTCTGTGACCTCAAGCAAGTTGCTTCACTTTCCTTGTGTCTCAGTTTCCTTATCTGTAAGATAAGGATTCAAACAGTAGGATTACAATCCTCCTTTGACTGTAATGAGACTTTAGGGAGTTCATGTCTGTGATGTTCTCAGGACTATGCCTAGTCACAGAGGATAACTGTGGAGATAATTTTTGCAAGATAAATATAAATATATAAATTTTAGGGGCCTTGAGATGTAAATGAGACTCTAAGCTGTACATGGCGAGATGAGCAAAATTTTCCCTGACCAAATACTCCTATCTCCTCCTCAACAAGTCTAATGAACTTTATTCCAGGGGCATTCCCAAGAAATTAAGTCTTCAGATGCTACATCCTGGCAGTATTAAAATAGTGCAAAATGCCCAGTAAATAAGCAAATTTCAGAAATAATTACGTATGCTTCCAAAAACACATATAGGCTTAAAGTTTTCCCAAATTTAAAAGCACAAAGCACTTTTACATGTATGACCTCACTGATTCTTGAAAAACCCTTCAGAAGAAGCGTAACAGAGGAGGAAGGTCATCCAGCGACCCTGTGTGGACTGTCCACAGTCAGAGAGCCGGTCAGTGGGGAGAGAAGAGACTGAAACAGTGTCAGCTTGTGAACACCACTTTCCTCCTTCCACACCATAACGTGCATGCACCCACTCAGCTCCTAAAACTTTACAGAAATCCCAACACAGAGACCTGAAATAGCATGCGAGAATTTCCATGATGCAGACATGCATCTTGTTCTCTGTCTTTGAGAATGCTTCGCTGCCCTTCAGCTGCAGAAGCAGAAACCAAACTGTGTTCCCCAAGCTGAAAGCTGTGTTTTCTTCTCAGCTGGTACTCTGGGGTTAAAGGAATAGGAGATCATTCCACAAAATTACTGTTACGCTTCTCAAAAAGGAAGTATGACTTTCACAGAAAAATCTATTCCATTTGGGAGAAAGGTCCACTAAAGCCACAGCAGGGTAATATATTCATACAACAATTAACTTCATCTGTCACATAGTGAAACCCCAAAGCCCTCTGGGCATACAGCTGCTTTCTGAGCCTAAATTAAACTCCAACTGAGAAACAGGTCAATTTTCTAAAATATTCTTTCGCAAACATCGTAAGCAAAAATTCCTTTAGCTTGCTTGTCATTTTCCAGATGGAATACCTCTGTTGGCCTTACTTGAATTTAGGCAACCCTTACCATAGCCCAGACACCAAACCAGCCACTGTGGTGACAACACAGACAGACGTGGCACAGCAAGACCCTCAAGGAGCTCACCCTGGGGGAAGGGAAGGCCGCCCAATCACAACCTTAAAGCAGCTTACTGATTGCTATCACCTATTTCAGCTTTGGCTCTAGCTTGAATTAAGAAAAAAGGAAAGAAGGAAGGAAGGAGGGAGGGAGGGAGAGAGAGAGGGAGAAAGAAAAAAGAAAAGAAAAAAGAAAGAAAAGAGAAAAGAAAAGAAAGAGAAAAAGAAAGAAAAGCACACACAGCACATCCCATTTCTATATGGAAGCAATCAGATCTGAACATTAAGTCGAGCTCAAAGTGTGGGGGGCAGGCGCCAAGGGAGGTCCCTAGAGTGGGAGAGCTCGTTCACAGGGGTGAACACACATACCACTTGGAGGTGGGGAAGGGACCCAAGCACAGGGGCGACCCCAGGGCTTCAGGGATGCCCGTGCATCTGGAGGAAGGAACAGAGGGCAGGAAATCTGAAGCCTCCAAATTGAACAGACACACACAAAGAACTCCTCCCCAAATGGGTGAGGGGTTACTAGAATGCTAAACAGAACACTGTCCTACCCAGAGCACAGAGCCCTGGTACAACAGTGAGGAAGACACAGGGCCCCCAGGGCCCCCAACTCGGCCCATAACCTTGGTTGAGCCTCTTCTTTCTTTTTTATTGAGGTATAACTGGCATATCACATCATGTGAGTTTCAGGTGTACAACATGATGACTGAGATTTGTATATGTTGCCAGTGATCATCACAATAAATCTAGTTAACACCCTCACTGCACACAGTCACAAGATTTCCTTTTCTTGTGATGAGAACTTTTAAGATCTACTCTCGTGACAGCTCTCAAACAGGCAAAACAGCATTATTAATGACAGTCACCACACTGTACCTGGTACTTGGTTAAGTCCCTGATCTTCTGTGAGCCCCAGTAAAATCACCAGAAAAACAAGAGATGTGAAAACCCACCTGCCTTCTTCACAGAAATGCTGAGAGGATAAAACGAGATAATGGATTTTAAGGGTCTTGCTGAACCAAGAAGCAAAATACCAATGTAAGGAGTCATTATCACCATTCGTTAAGTAACCTGCACGTAGAACTGAGTTTTACAACCCATGTTCCCCCCACCTTCGCCTGACCAAGAGCATTGTGAGTGCAGGCAATCTAGGTGGGACAGAGTCCAGAGCTTGGAGGGCCTCAGGCAGCTCAGGACTTGAGTGGTGTCACTCCTCCAAAGGGTCAGGAAGCTTTCTGAAACAGAGAACCAAACCGACCTACAAGACTACATTTTATCTTTCTCGGATATGCCTGAGGTCATCCAAACAGCTAAGCAATCCAGGGCTGTCCCCTGCTACACTGTATATTTCCACCTCAGAAGCCAAAGGGCATTCAAATGTTACATGATGATGGGCCTAAACAGTAGAAATCACATGAAGCTAGAACCCCAAAAAACATATTCACAGGAAGGATTCAGCGAAATCTGCTTCAAGTATGTTCACTATCGCCTGCAGCACTTATCTTCTGCCTCTTTCCAGCTGACTCCATTGATGCTTTGCCCCTTGGCTTTCACTAAGACCACAGAAAAGTAATATACCTGCGTGCCCCTCCCAGCGGAGCACCAGCCACATCACCAACACATCTCCCAGGGTAGTCCCCAAAATCAGGCTGCAAAGTCCCGGTAAATGAAGACAAACAACTCCCCAGCCGCCATGTTCTTTCTCTACTCCCAAGGAAGATGGGTTGAGATGATGAGTCTTGAAGTCAGAACTAAAAGAGGCCATAAGCAACATCTAATTGGACCCTCCTGCCACAGCACAGCAACCTAACACCCAGAAAATAGCAGAGCAGGAGAGCCAAAGCCAAAACCCACTCACCTGACCTCAGGCCCAGAACTCCTACAGCAATGCTGCTCTGGATGAAGGAAGATAAAGCAGGGCCCAGGCAAAGCCATCCCATCCATACTAAAGCCATTCAAGAGCTGACCTAGCACCTATTTAAAGACAGGCACTTCTTGCCAACTGTATGAGCATGAATATGTAGAGAAATTTCGGCTATGTTTCAACTTGCTGTCTGTGTTCATAAAGCACCAACTGCTCATGGTCCAAGTGCACACTGTACCTCTTCGTCATAATACCCTATTTATCCTGCAGCCAGGTGTCCACCCACTGCCCTAGACAGCATGTCCGTGAGCGCAGGGATCTATAATCACCTTTCTATCCCCAGTGCCCAGCCTGTAAGATACCCAATAAGTGATTAATGAACTAAGTTACCTACTCAAACATTTTTAACTTGCATTAACAAAAGTAAGATCTATTAAGTTTTGTTGATGTGGAGATAGTACCACACAGCTTAAACCTTAACTTGTGGATTTATGCTGTGTTCTCCTAGATTTCACTTGCTAAGTATTTAGTGAGCACCTCATGTGTGCTGGACATTGCCAAATGCAGTGCCAGGAACCAGAGTTCAGATAGGGCTCAGAATCGAACGGGAAACAGAAGAAAACCAGACAAGGTTTGGTGGGAGAGCTGAGAAGAATAAGCACTGACCGCCGAGCGAAGAACTCGCTTTGTCCAGCTGGCATACAGATAACACATGCTTCCTGCAGCATGCGATCGCATCCCCTCGGCGACTAACGAAGCTATAATGCGATGGCCCCCTGCGTGCCAGATGTCACTGCAGAGCAGGGTTCAGGAGAAACCAAAAAACAAACAAAGCTCCAGGATTGTGCTGGAATACAGATTGAAACAGGCTTTTTAGGGGCAATGTTCCAATTAGGAAATCCCCTGGCTACACTCTTTTGAAACTCAAGGTACCCTGGAGGCTGATATTTAAGTGGTATATTAACCCTACCAGTTAAAACCAAAGAAATCTTTGGTTCAAGGGCTAAGGATGAATTATCTTTGGCAAATTTATTCACTCTGAGTATTTCCATTAAGAGAATTATGAAAATTACTGAGCACTTACCATGTGCTAGGAACAGGCATCAAGCTACATGCTTTAAAGACATGTTTGTATTTAATCCTCAGAATGACGCTGGGAGGAGATGACAATGGCTCCTATCATCCCATTTTACAGTTGAAGAAAATGAGGTCTACACAAGTTTTAAAACTTGCCCCAAATTACACAGTTGGAAAAACCCAGGCAGCTTGCCTCTGCAGGCCCTGCATGAAGACAAAGTATTTATAAACTGTCCAGAACAGAGCTGGTATAATGGACTACAATAAATACCAACAATTCACACCTACGATCATTTTGTGCTAATCAAACAAGATTTGCTATAGTTCTGCACAACTAACTGTCAAATTATTCCGAGAAGAAAAAGTAGAGCGGGTA